TGGTAATAATGTATTGTTGGTAATAATTTTTCCTCAAAAATTTATTGCTGGTATTAAAACCTATTTTTATCCTTTCCTAGTGTTTTGACCCCAGTTTGAGGGTTAACTATTTGCCCATAGTTGGGACCCTAACAGGTGCCACCACCGTGGGTCAGGGTGGACGTGGGAACACCAGCAATTAAGAAGTGGTTTCATGCTCCTCAAAACCTCCTGATTAGAGGCCTTGCTGCCGGATGTAGTTTATCGTCATACCCAGAACGGTTATCAGTTATGACTACAAATGTCGAAGATTTAGCAGTAGCGTCAAACAAAGATTCGGGTGCACCTTCTTAACGAAATTTTCTATTATTTTAAATCGGGGGACTTTCGTTCTTTATCAATTTTGTTTGAATTTGTAATTACTTGACTCGGCTTTATAAAATAAAAGTGTTTTTGTTATAGAGTAGTTTCACAGTGGAGGCTTGTATTTCACTAAGTCGTTCCTAAAATAGGTTCGACGTACAAAACGTTAGGAACTTGATATAATAGGTAATGACGCAGAAAAATCTAGTGGTGGTCGCTGATACTCTTAGTATTCGACTAACGGTCGTCCGACATCGACTGACAACTCACTGAGCGACGGTATTTAGTCACCCCCACGAGGGCATCATGTGGCACAAGGCCTTTTTAACGTGGGATCTCCGAGCCCGTGGTCTCGGCCAAAAATATGCCTTTTGAACCCGTATAAACGGGTTCAGGGTCGGTTTACCTCCCCAATAGAGAGTCCGCCCTTCGGCGTAGCCTCGTTCGGGTTCCTCCCCGCCCGAAGGCAGAGAGTTCAACCGGTCAGCCGGTCGTCCGACTTCAGACTGAACTCAGACCGACCCACTGAGCGACTGGCGACTATTACTACTACTACTTATTATAGATGGGAGAGTCTATTAACTATAGAATAGGTGTGTTCCAGTATAACAGTTTTAAAAAGAATCACCAGTGTAAGGCATCAGAGGGAGGACTTCAGACATTTAGGAATGGAAAACCTACACCCATTTTCCGGTAATACAATTACTTGTTGCCTTCAAAGTTCTGGTGTTACTAACGGGGGTATCCGAGACAAGGGGAGATCATTGGGGAAGTAAAGCTTCCCTAATTTAATAAGAGCCTCAGGAATTCTTAAATGGTCACCTATTTCTTATTGACTTAACAGAATTTGGATTAATTTCAGGGATGAATCAGGAACCTGTATTTCGACTCAGATAAACCCGAATTCCCTATTTAAGATCAGACACTTTCTGCATTCAAAGACAATAAAATCAGAAGTGCGGAATAGTATAATGGTTCACAAGCTACTCTAGTTGACCATAACTAGAGAGTTCGACCCTCAGATTTGATTAAAGTTTAAACGGAAATGTCAATTTTAGCATACCAAATCTCGATTACTATTTTCCCAACCCAATTGTAATTTATTTTCATTAGAAAACGTTTACATATCCTATATAAGATGTGACCTACGTTTCCATAGCAACCTAATCCTTAAACGAACCTTAAACCCTGCATGAGTTCACGTGCGAAATGCAGTTCATAACCTTACATTAATTCTTATAAAAAAAAATATTTATATCACTTTAAACGATGTTTTTAGTCGATGCCCGTATTTGAATAGACGATCTGTTTATTTATTAAACAGCGTATTTATTTATTTTCGTCTACAGATCTGAATGTTGGAGGAATCTTATTAAAGACAAATTTGTGCTCTTTCTGTAATAAAATTTCTTGAAAGTTATTTTTTTATTTTTTATTTTTTGTTCTTTGCACGTCTTTTGAATGTATTCTATTTTCTGTCAACAAAAAAGTTTAGAATTTTTAAATAGGCATTTGTCTTTAAAATGTCTGGCTCCAAAATCATGATATGGGTCAGGTCTTTTACCTTTTTCGTTTAACCATCTGAATGTCTACCTCTTTGTCTTCAATTTTGGCGGACTTATGCTTAAGATTTGGTCTCTGCAAGATCAATTTTGGGTCTTCTTCTAGCTTTGAAAGAATACGTGAACGTATTTCAGAGTCCTTGCTAGAAGACAACGCTTTTACAAAATTTAGACATTTAAATAGGCCATGGGTGACTCCGTTTTATTTAATTTTTTTACATTCCCTATTTATTAGTCCTGGGTATCTAACGAATTCATCCGCGTCATATTTTGTTAAATTTAAACACTGCCAACGTGCATTGAAAAGTTAACTTTTCTCCCCAAAATTTTTAGAAAGCATATTTACCGTCTGATCAAAATTGATGTCTACTGGATTTTTAGGCAAAATGTAGTTACAGTACTTTTCATTCTCTGTAGATTCCAGTTACCTGAAAGGTGTACTCTCTCTAATTACGGCCTTCAGAAATCTCGGCGGCCATTTTGAACAAACACAGCATTACAACAACTTTAAACAAAACAAATAAAATATGTGTTAAGTACAACAAAGATAGCGATAGTACACACACTATACACACCGAAAGTCCAAGGTGCATTAGGGTGCAGAAGTTGCTTTCCAAAAGCTAAGCAAAGTATTTAGAAACAGGAAAATTTCGTTAGAATCGAAGAAAAGAGTACTGAACAGTTACGTAATATCGGTCCATTATTTATGGCAGTGAATGCGAAACAATCTCCTCAAAGATGAAGAATAAACTTGAAGCAACAGAAATAAAGAAAAGAGTACTGAAATGTTATATAGTATCAGTCCTCCGATATGGCAATAAATACCGAACAATCTTCTCACAAATGAAGAAGAGACTTGAAGCAACATAAATAAAAAAAATTGTGCTGAACTCTTATGTAATATCAATCTTCCTATATGGCAGCTAATTCTGGACAATCTCCCCATAAATGAAGAAGAGACTTGAAGCAAAAAAAAACGAAAAAAAGAGTACTGAACTGTTATATAATATCAGTCCTCTTATATGGTAGCTTATGATGGACAGTTTACTCACAGATGAAGAAGAGACTTGAAGCAACAGGAAAAAAAGAGTACTGAAATGTTATATAATATCAGTCCTCCTATATGGGAGTGAATGCTGAACAATCTTACAGATGAAGAGTCTTGAAGCAACAGAAACAAAGAAAAGACTACTGAACTTTTATATAATATCTTTTTTCTTATAGGATAGGTAATGCTGAACAATTTACTCACAGATGAAGAAGAAACTTGAAGCAAATGAAGAAAAGCGTACTGACTTGAATCAACAGAAAAAAAATGTACTGAAATGTTATATCGGTCCTCCGATATGACAGTGAATTCTGGACAATCTCCTCAGATGAAGAGACCTGAAGCAGCAGAAACAAAGAGAAAGAGTACTGAAATGTTATATAATACCAGTTTTCCTATAGGGTAGGTAATGCTGGAAAATTTACTCACAGATGAAGAAGAGACTTGAAGCAAAAGAAATGAAGAAAAGCGTACTGACTTGAAGCAACAGAAAAAATGTACTGAAATGTTATATGTTATACTGAAAATTATTTAGACTGAACATGTGAGCAATGACGGAGTTTTAGAGAAAATGGAAACAAAAAGGACACTTCTATCTAACATAAGAAATTTTCCTGGTCACATAATGAGAAAAGCTGTCTTGGTAAATTTGGCAACCACAGGACATATTGAAGGCAAGAAGGTCAAGGGAAAGCAACCCATAACCCACCTGACGAATTTGTGTAAATGCTTGGCAAAACAAGTTTTAGGGGAGGTAACCAAAGGAAAATATTACTAAGAGCTACAAAGGACAAGAAGCTGTGGAGAGACATGATCGTCAATGTCTTGAAAGGACATATAGAAGAATCACCAAATGAGTTAAACATAAAGATTAAATTTATGACCTATCTCTTAACCCTTTTAACTCTTAACCGGCGTCCTTGAACAATTTTAACCCTTCTGCCTGAGCTCCTGAGTCAAAATCCATAAATAATTGATATGCAATGTTTCACAGTAGATATAAAAATAGTTACAAGTGTTTACCCACCGTTCAACCGGTAGCCGGGCGTTAAGTCATTTTTCTTTACCACTGTTCAACCTGTGGCCGGGCATTAAGTCATTTTTTTCTACCACTGATAAACCGGTTGCTGGGCATTACGTCATTTTTCTCTACCACCGGTAAAGCGGTGATCGGGGCTGAAACGGCTAATGAACTTGATAATTAATAACAAACAATAGCCTAAAAAAAGGAAATGACCATCCATTGTTAATGCTTATATTCCCACGACCTTTTATATATATATATATATATATATATATATATATATATATATATTATTATTATTATTATTATTAAATATGCCAGACAATGACTGTCTATCAGGTCTGATGATGAGCCATTCTAATGTTCCAATGTAAAAAACCCCCCAAAAAAACACTTCAGATATTGGAGGCCATCTACATTAAAACAAAGCAACCGACACTCAACAAAATTACATTTCAAACTAGTCACAACACATTAAATTGCATCTAGACATTAGTTCTGTTAATATTTCGGTCTATCGCGTGGTATGACGTCATAGAACCGCATCTTGAGTTTACGATCTGCGTCTTCTATTCCGCGACCGTTATCGTCGCATAGCAATTTTCTATGTCAACATAACAAAATGGCATCTTCGACGATGGCTATCTTTGTTTCATGTCTGTATAACCACTCAGAAAATGGCTCATGTGAGCCGAAAGCTTAGGATTAAATTAATAAAAGAAATATCCAAATGTTGGACAATTTTTGTCTTTATTTTCACCAAAAATTAAAGCAAATATTCGAATGGCTCATGATTAGACATAATAGACATTCATTTTCTGTTATATTTAATAATGTTTGAATAATGATCTGCTGTCTCAATACACTATATATATATATATATATATATATATATATATATATATATATATATGTGTGTGTGTGTGTGTGTGTGTGTGTGTGTGTGTGTGTGTGTGTGTGTGTGTGTGTAAAAAGACACATTGCTTTTCTATCCCATCGTCGCAAACATTAATTCTCTTTCAAGCGTGCAAGAACTATTTTCTCATTAATAATATCTGTCGCGCTCTATCTAACAAATCCTTAGCACAAAAATACTTTATCGTTTCTCTCTTCGTTTCAATCATAAATAGTTTGTTTTTTTCTTATTCTTTACCATTTTCCACTTTTATTTTCCCTTTCCCTGTACCCAGCCACCACACTTCCGTTCGATCTCTCGCGCGTGTCGGCAACAAGTAATCTATCGCCGGAGCGTGAGTACGTCTAGGTTCGAAGCTCGTCGCTGGCAGCCATTTATTTTGCTTTCCATTCTGAAACATTATTTGCTCACGGACAAGGGAGGTAATAGCTTCACGGCTGTAATAGGTGTTAAAAACAACAGCAAACCAGAAATGAAAGAAACTTACTTCAGAACTCATTCTTTTCTCGTCGAAATGAGACAATACAAAACAATTAACACACACACACACACACACACACATATATATATATGAATAATAAAAAATGTGCCATTTGGTGCACAAAGGTGAAGCTCTTAGTTTAGTGTAGAACCAGAGTAAAGTAATAAAATTATTGGTAAAAAGAACTGATTAAGAAAATGAAGAGTTCAATGTTATTTAGAAATTTAAGTTATTTGTGTTTGCTAATGCGATGAGCGGGCCTATAAATTTATAGGAAAGATTATATATATATATATATATATATATATATATATATATGTGTGTGTGTGTGTGTGTGTGTGTGTGTGTATATATATATACTCGACTCTCCCGTCGAATTCGACGTATGAGGGTCAAGCAGATCAGTTCCCAGAAAACCGACAGCCTGAGAACAGCACATGAGATTTGATTATAGTGGTGAAGGTTTCGTGCAGGACCATCCACAGTTTTTGAAGGGCCTCCATCGCAAGAGGTAGGGAGGATTAGATGTGATAGGCAACAACAAACTACAGGAAAACTCAAAATTGATTCCTGCATTTGTACTTACCTTTTAGAGGTTCAACGATAATTCTTCTGCTGTCTCTTAATTCAAAGACACTTTGATGGACGTAGGTCCTTACTTTCCGTACAAACAATTATTTTTATTTCATTGGTGACTTTCGTTGGATTTCGCAATTAATTTTGATTATTCTCAAATTTATTTCCAAGTTATAAAAAATGTTATCGTACAAAAAAAAAAAAAAACAAAAAAAGAAAAAAACATCAAAAATCACGTAAAAATCGCCGAAAACAAACGCAGTAAAGAAAAATTGGCCTTAGGTCAAAACGGTATGTTGCTGTGCTACGGCCTCTAAGAGTAAAGTTGAAAAGGTTTTACACAGTGACACACTGAAATTCCATTATATATATATTATATATATATATATATATATATATATATATATATATATATATATATATATATATATTATAATATTTTATATAAAAATATTTTACATCGCGACACGGAAATTTCTGCTTCGGAATTTAAATGGATTATTTTCATCAGAAGTTACCCAAGATCGCTTGAAATAGAAATTTTCCGTGTCGCTATGTAAATTATTTTTATATAAAAATATTATAAAATTATGCTCTACATTGATTCCAGCAATTTAAAAAAAAAAAAAAATGTTAAAGAACTATGGATTTTTAACCTGACTGGTATTTCTCTTCATTTGTATATATATATATATATATATATATATATATATATATATATATATATATATATATATATATTAATGCATGTTTCATTAAATAATATAGACAAGTTTTATCTATTTATTTTAAGCAAATTCCTTTCATATCGTCTGATAAGCTGAATAGCATTATGATTGAAAGACGAAAGAAAATCACCATATTGATATATGTTTTTTTAATCCTATTTAAGCTTTCGGTTTACATAAGCCATCATCAGAGATGACAAGTACATTACAATAAATTAAATTTCCAAGCAACGACAATCTCGTGCATAAGGGCCACTGGAAGCGAAATATGTATATTTGGGCACAACCTTTCTTTTAAACATCTTTCATTAAATACAGCAAACAAGAAAGATTTATTTATTTATTTTTATTTTTTCGGCATCATTATGTTTTACTATCTTGTATTTACTCCTAACGACGTAAAGATGCTGGAAAAAAATTTAAATTATAAATTAAATCTTTCTTGTCTGGTGTATTTAATGAAAGATATATATATAGTGAGTATTTTGCACCTGAAGATTGCGTGTTTGCATGAAACTCCGAGTCGTGCTATCGACGAAGGATACGGTGTATATTCACTAATATATACTTAATAGCTCTGCTATATAACAGTGAGCACTGCTTTTATAAAACTTGAGAAAAATATATGTCCGTGTAAGTATATGTGCGTATACGTATGTTACATTTATCAAACTCATCTCTCTCTCTCTCTCTATATATATATATATATTTATATATATATATGTGTGTGTGTGTGTGTGTGAAAATTCATTTACTTTTGTTTAATTTGTAAATGTATTTAATTGTCAGTTCAGAGAGAAAGAGAAAGAGAGAGAGAGAGAGAGTGGGGAGGTGTTATGGGACCTTACTCATAATAACATAATGGACTATTCCATACGTAATAAATACTGCGCCTCAAGAGGAAGCAGGGAGTTCAGTCCGAAGTCGGACGACCGGCTGATTGGTTGAACTCTCGGCCTTTGGGCGGGGAGGAACCCGAACGAGGCTACACCGAAGGGCGGAGTCTCTTTCGGGGAGGTAAACCGACCCTGAACCCGTTTATACGGGTTCAAAGGGCATATTTTTGACAGAGCACACAGGCTCGGAGATCCCACGTTAAACCGGGCTTGTGCCACATGATGCCCTCGTGGGGTGGGGGTGACTAAATATTGTTCAGTCTGAAGTCTGGATTGAAGTCCCTCAGGAGTCTGTCAGTCAGTCAGAGCGAGCGAGTCAGTCAGTCGAGTTCAGAGGCAGTCCGAAACAGAGTCGCGTTCAGACAATTACTACTAAACCTGATTGTTCGTACTAACACTTCTACTTCTCTGTATATATTCCTGTTTGTAATATATCTGTGTTATTCCATATCCGCCTTCGAGTTCTTCTTTATTGGTTCTACCTTGGACTATCACCGTGGTACAAGGAACCGGACCATAACAGTGGGGAAGGAAGTGCGGAAATGAAGTTACAAAGGAGAAAGGAAGGAAAGAAGGGACAATGGAAAGTGAAAGAAGAAGAGAGGGAAGGAAGGACAGAAGGGTGAAAAGAAAGGACAAAAGAGAGAGAGAGAGAGAGAGAGAGAGAAGAAAGAAAGAGAAAGAAGAAAAAAATATAAACCGAAAAAAGAATGAATGACCGCAAAAAGAAAGAATGAGAGAGAGAGAGAGAGAGAGAGAGGATAAAAGAAGTAAAAAAAAAAAACAATATAGGAATGAATGAAAGAAAAGAAAGAAGGAGACAGGATAAGGGAAAGAGAAGAAAAAATATGAGGCGAAAAAGGAATGAATGAAAAGAGAGAATGAGTTAGAGAGAGAGAGAGAGAGAGAGAGAGAGAGAGAGAGAGAACACAAGTAAAATAAAACAGGAAGAAAGAAAAATATGTCGAAAAAAGAAGGAATCAAACAGAAAGAAAGATAGAGACAACAGAATTAATGGTGAAGAAAGAAAATATAAGGCAATAAAGGAATGAATGAATCGGAAAGAAAGAGAGAGATAGAGAGAAAGAGAGAACAAAAATAAAAGGAAAAGGATAATTGAAAAATAAAAGGCGAAAAAATAATGAATGAAAGAAAAAAGAGTAAGAAACAATACACGTAAAAAAAAAGAAAGAAAGAAAAAGTGTCAAAATGTAACGGATAAATAAGAATATATATAGAAGATATATACATATCTATCTATCTATCTATCTATCACAGTCTCTATCTATCTATCTATCTATCTATCTATCTATCTATCAATCTATCTATCTATTCATCTATCTATCTATCACAGTCTCTCATCTATCTATCTATCTATCTATCTATCTATCTATCTATATATATATATATATCATATATATATATATATATATATATATATATATATATATATATATATATATATATATATATATATATATATATATATATATATCATATATATATCATATATATATGTGTGTGTGTGTTTGTATATATATATAAGGATATATATATAAGGATATATATATATATATATATATATATATATATATATGAAGAAATATGGTTTTAAGATGAGCTATATTTAAAGTACTCAATATCAGAGATAGAGCGTATGTAAATATAATATAAACGTGAACACTGAAGTCAACACTCAGAGGCGACAGGCTGTTTCATGCTGGACGCAATCGCCACAGCCTGACGATTGCGTCCAGAATGAAACAGCCTGTCGCCTCTGAGTGTTGACTTCAATGTTCATTATTATATATATATATATATATATATATATATATATATAAAGTATATATATATATATGCACTTTATTTTAGGATATTACATCAAGACATGTGAAAAACGCTACACAAATGCAATCATATTTCAATGTGTATTAACACACCTTCTCAGGCGTTAGTAAATGACTGGTTAGCAGACAATTTATTGAGATTTTAAACCCCATACAACCTATTTTCATGCGAAAAAAGAAAAGAAAAAGAGTCGGAAAGAAAGACACAAGATGCAATCTTTTTTCCGAAGAATAAGGAGAAAAGGTAGGAAAGAATAAGGAGATAGCAGCAGCGTTTATATTGTTTAGAATCAAATCTACCAATCAAAATGGCCTACACTAAATAAGAGGTCATGACCCACCGATTTAAAATCGTAGAGAAGTTAGACGTTATATTCGATACAAATGCAAGTTTGCTACAATGTTGACATAAGACACATTGCATTTCCTATGAGAAAGGAAACGTAATTTAACAAGGCACTTCACAAACCTCATACCTTGTGGGTCAAAAGCTAAAATTTCATAATTTTATAGTCAGTAAATAATGTGGCCTTTTAAGAAATAAATACAAAGAAAATAAAAAGGTCTAACAAAATTACTAAAAATATATAGATCAAACAAAATATTTAAATAAATATATCAAACAAAACTTTAACCATATAGATCATATAAAATTAACTAAAAATACAGAACATACAAAACAGAATGCGACTGTTAACTAAAGTGTCTTATATAGGGTGTTAATAAAACCGGTCAATGGAAAATGTTAGCTAAACGCATGTACATCTCAATTAAATATTACCAGCAGTACTAGAAGAATAATGTACAAATTATACTACGTCGTATTTGATCTTATTGACAAAAGATAAGCTTTATATGGTGAAACAAGGTTATTCTAAAATATAAGAAGAAGCATTTGTCAAAATTTAAAATATAGCAAAATTGTAGGGTCAAAGGTATGATATGTTTACAATTAACCGTTAATTCAAATTTTTGATTTAATAAATCATCCCAATTCAAAAACCTGATAATCTGCATTTCCGCTTGTAAACACAGAAAACAAGGTTCATATAAAGATCTACAAGTCTTTGTTAATTTTAAAATTTTCCATTTAACTTTAGAAGTTTTATTTTCATCTTTCGACTTCCAAAAACATTTTGAAAACGAAGTATTATTTCTATAAGTAATATTAGTAAAATAAGACATGTGCTGATACCACCGGGTTTAAAACGTATTCGTAGTACTACCAATATAAAATTTTTCAACTTTCGGATTTTCTAGTTGTGGGTAATTCAGTTCGCCAGTCGTTTGCGATGACTGAAAAAGATTAAAGTGCTTGTTTTCGTCCAGTCCTCCGGTCTACCAACTAAGCTGTTGCAAGTGACCTTCTATTCTCTCAGTCTCGTTAGTACGTGCGCCGTCACGCCAACAATGCGTTCTCCCGTCTTCCTCCCAGATTCGCTATTTATGCCCGCGTCGGGGGCAACTAAAATTTGCATACGAGACTTACTTCTCGCTCGCCCGAGACTTCCGGTTTTATAAATTCAACCTGGTTTGAATTCTTAGTCTTTTTTATTTTTATTTTTTCCTTTGTACGTCTGCCCGCGATATGGGAATTTCACTTTTACTGCCGGTCGCGATCTTTCAACAGGATCTGACACGCCATGCAAATTCGCTTTGCGGGAGGTAAGTCTTCTCATTCCCCACACTAGTGTAGAGATAGAACAAAGATATAAAAGCGATTCGGTTAAACATTTGTTAGTCAATGAGCATTGGTTAGGATTTCTACAATTACATTGGTTACCATCCTTAATATTTTTATTTTTGCATTATGATTAAAATTATTGACTTCGTTTAGAGTTCTATTGTTGTTGTTTCTCGAGATCATTAGTGCAACTATAACTAAGGTTTAATGTATTCCTATTAAATATTTTACTAAGAGAGTTGCTTTTCGGAAAATTATCGATTAATTTCAGAAACTTATGGCCTTATTAGTACTTACTAATTGATTAAATGGAAGTGTGTACCAGATGATCTTCCTATTTCTATTTCTTTTATTTGAATTACTATCATCAAAATCTTTAAACTGAATTTCGGCGCGCTTATACCCACTATTCTTAAGAACTTTATTGTACACATGGCTATATATATCAAACACACCTTTGTTCTACAGAAGAAGGAATATGTCGGATTACAGATGGAGGGATGATTGGAATTGGGGTGAATATAGATTGGGTTTGCATTATTTTTCATATAAGGCTGAAAATTGTCATAGACTAGATCTAACGTTACATCGAGAATCTCGAATTGTTTAATATTAGCACTTATTTTAACCTTAAGATCTAAACTTTTAAATTTCCCTATGAGTTCATCTACCTTAATTTTCGTAGTTTTTACAACCGTAAGACCATCATCTCTATATAGCCCTATACTATCTAGATTGATCTCATCATAAGCAATAAGTATAAATATATATAAACTAACCAGATCAGAAGACCTAGAAGAATCCAATGACCCCATTGAAATGTGAAAGTTATCATCAGAATTTTTTACCCACTGCTCTTTATTTTGGATGAGGACAAATCTCCCACAGTTAATTATAAAGCTTATTTCGTCACTTGAGAATATTGCTCTATTATTGTATTGAGCCCTCTTTTAAATTAATGTTACGAATGTCGGAATTAATATTCGATTCGTTCTCATTTCATATATATATATATATATATATATATATATATATATATATAGAGAGAGAGAGAGAGAGATAGTGGTCGGACCACTCACATATATACACACACACTCACACGCAGGTATCTATGGAGAACGAATATATATGTATACACATATACTTGCAAAACAATTAGACGACTCACAAGCACACGCACGAAACCTACATAATATAGGAAGTATATGTATGTGTATGTATATATGTATATGTATATGTGTGTTTGTGTGTATGTATGTATATATGTGCATGTGTGTGTGGACATGAATATATATATATATGTATATATGTATACTAATTCCTTATAATAAGACAGTATGTATGTATGGAGAGGGTATATACATACAGACAGTATCAAAAACGCACACACAATACACAAAAATGGAAACAGATCTAAGAACATACAGGGTTTCTTAAAAGATAATACAGATATCTTTCCACACCCTTTCTCGGACCAATCTTAATTGTTTTATTAGCCTTTATCACCAGTTCAAGAAAGATATTTGTGTCACTACTACCGCGAAAAAAGAATGTTTAACATTGAAAACCACAAGGAAAGTTAATTCATTTTAATAATATTTAATATATCCACTCTTTGCCCGAAGAAGTCACGAGACAGGAAATGGTAAATAAAATATAATATATATTTAAAAAAAAAGTCCACATTGCAACCAAAAACGTTTGCGGTCTCTTCTTTTTAAAATATACACTTTTCTCTTGTCGGAAAAACTATAATCTCTCCCATATATATATATATATATATATACACACACACACACACACACACACACACACACACATATATATATATATATATATATAAAAGGAAGTTCTGTTTGGAAGATAAAATATTTTGAAATAACAGATAAAAAATACAGAAATATATTTTTTTATATCGTAAAAAATAATGACAATTTTTCATTTCAGAGATTCTGTCAGAAGTCTGTGTGTAGGATGTCGGTTAATCTTAAGAAGACTTCATGAATTTAAGCGTTCAACTAGGCTGGCATTTCGCTCTCATCCTTTCACTGTCGAAACTGTTAAATGTAGCCGTCTCTTAAATAGCTTCATGTCTCGCACTTCTCGCGTGTGAAACTCCCTCCCCTCTTCTTGTTTCCCTGATAGCTATAATCTCTAACTATTCAAATGTAAAGAAAAAAAAGTGTAACCAGTGAGTGTCGAGCCAACTATAAAATGGCTGAATACATAGAAGTAAATAGAAAAATAGGAATAGTTGTAGTAAAAGACCGTATAAGACAACTGGGAAAACGCAATCCACTGTGCCATGGCATGTTGGAGTAGAACAGTCTACCCCAGTGAGCTAAATAAAGGGTTCAGTTCGACATTCCAACCACCTGAAGAAGGCCGGAGAGTACAACGGCCGAAACGTTGTAATAAATATGGCGACAAAGATGAGGACAATAGTCCAAATAATGTAAATCATAAACCACTGCTAATAATGATAGAAATCTTGTCGTCTGATATATGCGACCCAATGTTAATGATGCTGAAATCAGTGTTGTCACATATATTAGATCCATTGCGAATGATGCTGGAAGCATTGTCGTCACACACACACACACACAGATATATATATATATATATATATATATGATCCATTGTTAATGATGCTGGAAACATTGTCGTCACATATTGTTGTAAGCTTGGGAAAGTTACTGTTGTAGAGTGGTTTCACAGTGGAGGCTTGTATTTGTACTAAGTCGGTCCCAAAATATGTTTGACGTACAAAATGTTAGGAACTTGATATAATAGGTAATGACGCAGAGAAATCTAGTGGTGGTCGCTGATACTTTTAGTATCCGACTAACGGTCGTCCGACATCAACTGACTGACCAACTCACTGAGACGGCTGACTATTACTACTACTACTTATAGGTGGGAGAGTCTATTAACTATAGAATAGGTGTTCCACTATAACAAATACTGAATAGAATAATCACACGAAGGTGGGTAATGAACGATAATACTTAGGACAAGAACAACACATATAAGATTCGCCAGCGATGCGTAGAAAAAGTAATCAACTACTAGTCAAGTGAATTCCACAATGAATCTCCAACTGCAGACCAACATACAGTATTTACTACTATATCTATGTGGATGGAGACATACCAATTATCGTACGTAGATATGCTACAACACATATATACAATAAATTGCTAATGGTGCTGGAAACGTTCTCGTCTCATTTATACGATACATTGCTAATGTTACTGGAAAAATAACCGCATCGTTCCATCGCTACCATTCTATTTGCGGCCATGTTTGAGGTGGAGCTGTGAAATCTTTACCGTTCACTCTTAATAGAATTCAAGAGTATGCACGTATTCTTGTGGGAGGGAGTTATTCTTCAATTTGCGGTTTCTTTTAGCATAGACGCAACGTCGCTAATCTATTCTTATGCTGCCGCCATTTCCATAGAAAATGTTCAGATGATCACCATTATTCAATTTCATCAGTTCATAACTTTACAACTAATACAGGCTATGCTACATCCCCTGTGGGTAGAATCACCCCCACTTTTTTTACTTCGCATACGAAATGCGGTATTAAACTTCCCGAAGAGCTGCTATTTCGTGTTTTCCTGATCACTATAAACTTAAACTCTTCTAGTCGAGGGTCAATCTTTATCTATCCGCTTTATCCTCATAATCCTTACTTCTTTCACTCATATTACATCTCATTCATCATTAGCATTTTAACAGTAACCCTCTAACTTGAGAGACTCTTGTGCCTTGCATTTGATGAACTTCAATTGAAAAAAATTTGTCAAAGCCAGTATCCATTAGCCCAAACACATCAGCCATTTTTCCCCTCTAACAATGTTGAAAAAGTTTAACTTTCAAATTGGGCAAGTATGACTCCTCAAATATACAATAAAAGTATAAGTTATGTTATTTATTTCAAATAGAATACAAAGAAGAATCTTTAATGTTATTTGGTCCTGATCTGGAATCTCGGCTTTAGTCACTTTCCCATTGTTAGGTTCATCATTTTGATCCAGAGTCAAAGAGACGGTCCATGCAGGGAAAACTGCCTTCATCACCTGCCCCAAAGAAAGCTAAAATAGTTTCATCGGCAGGGAAAGTGATAGTCTCAGGTTTTTGGAATGCAAAAGGGCCAGACCATCCATGGAGAGTTCTATGTTAACTTGTTGAAGCAGTTACGAAAGGCTATGAAGATCAAACACACAGGAAAACTGACGAGAAGGGTCTTGTTCCATGAGGACAGTGCTCCAGCACAGAAGTCCTTTGTTTCAATGGCTGCTGTCCGTGACTGTGGTTTTGGGTTGGTTTATCACTATCCTTCTTCTTTTTATTTGGCATCATCTGCTTATCATCTGTTCCCTAACATGAAAAAAACACTTGGCTGGTAACCAGTATCACATTGATGATGACGTCATATCTACTGTTGATGACTTTTTGATCAACAGGATGAATAGCCTTCTTTGAACAACCAAATGAATGAATTGTATCTTTGTCCTTGGTTCAAAGTGATGAGCCCAATGCTCATCCTGGGTTAGGAAACATTCAAGGAAACGAGCTGAATCTGCCTCAAACGATGCTAGATTTTCCCGTGATTTGATCAGCCTGGTGCGCTTTTGATCAGATGTCAGAAGATGTGGCACCCACCGAACAGAAACCTTCGTCATGCCAAGTTCATTGACCAGAATATTCTCACCTCTCACACCAGATATGCTAATAGCATTGGCTATTTGATTTATTGTCAATTGCCTGTCATCCATTACCATGTGATGAACATGATCAATGTTTATTTCGGTGGTGGCAGTTGCAGGACGTCCCAACAATGGGTCATCTTTCCTCTCCTAGATTCAGTTTCCCAATTTGTGCTGTTGATAAAGCTGTGGCCTCATCGCCTAATATAGCAACACTTTCAGTAGGTACTTGATAACAGCTAGATGCCAAATTTCATCTATTTTCAAGAGAAGTTGCTACAAGATACATTTGAAGATTTCTTTGAATAGTCAAATGTCAATTTACACGGAAAGAATCAATGCAGTTATTAATAAGAAAAGTTGAAATTAATGCATGCAAGTTTTCATAGCTCTAGGATTACTCCTTCATAGTCAGCCTATGAACATTTCAGCCCACCCTCGTACCTGGAAAGAAACAATGCAGTTATTAATAAGAAGAGTTGAAATGAATGCATGCAAGTTTTCATAGCTCTATCATCCTTCCTTCATAGTCACCCAATTAACTTTTAAGTCCACCATCGTACCTGGAAAGAATCAATGCAGTTATTAATAAGAAGAGTTGAAATTAATGCATGTAAGATTTCACAGCTATAGTATCACTCCTTCTTAGTCAGCCTATAAACTTTTCAGCCCATACTCGTAAATAAGAACTCCCTATCCCAGAATTTCAGACAAAAAATAATTAAATAATTGCGTCTAAAAACAGAATCGGTTATCTGAGTCCTAACTCTGGATAGGAGACTTTGACGTCCATTCTTCATGTCTCTTCCTCGTTGTAAGTTGCTGAATAGTTAGAACTCTTTAGTTTTTCTGGTAGTTCTCGTTCACTGTTAGGCAAGCGACTTCCTCCCGTAAAAAGAAAAAATTTAATTGCTATTGAGATTGTAGCTGGTGAGGTTTCAGCTTTATGATTCATAAGGAAACTGCTGTACTAAGCCACATACACACCCACGCACACAAAAGGATTTTATATACCAACAACAAAGACAACATTAAATATTCCAAGGAAGGCGTCAGAAGATTTGTTGTCTCTTGATCTCGAGTTTTCATATCAGACCTCTGATGATAAAGAATTGTTTTTGCGTGTGGTGAAAGAATGTGCGATGCTTTTGACAAGGGACCAAGCGAAGGTGTTTTAGTTCCAAATGTGGGCGACAGGTGGCGTTATCGAGAAAACCTTGTTTGACCGACAAAAATAACTAAAAAGACTTTGTCGAGATAAGACATTACACTGCAGAAGGGAGAATGGCGTGGAGACGTGGTGGGGAGAGTGCGAAACGAAACACGACCCCCCACCCCGAACACACGCACACGCACAGACACACACTGTCAGAGACACAAATATGAACAGACAATTCTGCAGTTTTACAGACACATACCTTCTCACTTACGCGCTGCAAAATGCCATGTTGAAAAGTTCTCGGCCCGACACATTTCAAAAAATCTGATCAAATAGCAGGAATTATTTAAAAAATTTTTGCTGGTCCGGCTGAGAACATCCCCAAAATTCACGTGTATATCAACTACAACTTCCACGCAATTCACGTATATATATATATATATATATATATATATATATATATATATATATATATATATTTTGAACAATAAGAAAATAAAAAATTAAAATCATTAGACACACTGGGTTGTAGATTAATATTCTTTCGTTTTTTATTATTATTATTCCATTTAGATTCCTCGACTAGTTTCGACCGAAATGGCCATCATCGGGAGGAGAAATATTTCTGCTTGCTGTTAGCAGTGAACTACAGAAATGAATATATATATATTAACTACAACTACGGACTCTTATAACATTTCATCATTCCTGGCAGAACTTCTATTATCACAGTGTGGGATATCTAGCAACAAAAGATTAAAAAAAAAAAATAATTAAAAATTAAGATTTCCCAGCATCCCTCGTTCGTGCGCATGTGCAGTAGTACCAACATGACAAATTTAGCCCGATGTAATCCTAAAGGACGAAACGCGTCGCAAGAAAACTTTTTCCACTTTGTCATATATTTTCCAATATATATATATATATATATATATATATATATATATATATATGTGTGTGTGTGTGTGTGTGTGTGGGTGTGTTCGAAAATAAGGGATTGGGATTGTTTATAGCTATTTTTATGGTTACGTCTTTTGAATGTAAATGGCTTCAATAATCGTTAAACTTTTTGTTATTGGATTTAGGGTGTATTTTTGTATTGTTAGCGAGGAGCTGTATAGTGTTACAGTTGTTTAATAGCACTTTGTTCTGATAAATGACATGCAGTCCAGGATGAAAGCGTGGTTGTTGTGTAACCGATATAATGCTTCTTTATTATTTACAGAGATGCAATCTCCAATTGGACTAATAAATTCATAAACTACTTTAGTCTTATTTGGTGGGTTGAGAAATAGTTTTGATGATTAGAATACTGGTTTGAAATTTTAACTAAAAAACAAAAAATGAGCTACTTGAAACACTTTTGCTTTTCTTTCCTTAACTTTCCATTTTCGTACTCCTGAAGATGACTCATGTGTGTCGAAAGGTTGGGCATGGGCTTAATTTCGGATACTTTTTGCATATGTAGCAGTTAGGCTTGCAAAGGTGATTTCTAATAAATGATCAAATATTTAGTCATCTGTTAATTTTATTTTCTGATTGGCTTTTTTTAGATAAACGTGTAAGATTGATTTCGAAGATACAACGTAGTACAGTCATCAGTTATGAGGTTTTCATTTGTTGGATGTAAATAGCTTCAACAATCTTTAGGTTTTTTTTGGCTATTGGCTTTATGGGTCATTTTTGTATTATTAGTGAGGAGTTGTCTAATGTTATAGTTTTTGTGTTACTTATTAATTTGTTGTCTAATAGCACTTTGTTCTGATAAATGGCATGCAGTCCAGCGCAAGGGAGTGGTTGTTGTGTCTATATAATACTTATTTTGTTTATTACACTGTCCTCTAATTTTTTTTTGTAATTGTGCAAGGGATATAATAGCTAATTTTAAACAATTTAATAGCGCTGAATTTGAATATCCTAGTCATTTTTCTCAGCTGTAGTTTGCTTGCTTCAGATGATGGGCAAAAAAACAAAAAAAAAAAAAAAAAAAAAAAAAAAAAAACAGGAAAATTGCTGAAGTTATTTATTTACACCATTTACATTGTTCCACTGTTGTTTTCATCTTTATTGTCAAATTCACGACGTTTCGGTCGTTGTACCCTCTAACCTTCTTCAGGTGATATTTATTGAAATTTTGATTCGAACCCTTTATTTAGTCCACGGGGGTAGATTGTTCCAATTCCACGTGCCATGCCTTTGGATATCTCAGTTTTAGTTAATTCGCCTTTATAACTCTCCAGGTTTTTGTCCTCTCCACTGAGGGATTGAACTCACAAATCTTTGGGTCAGGTCACTTTTTGGATTAATCAACACTTTTATCCACTGGACCATGTGTCCCCAACGACAAAAATAAGAGGAAAAATACATCAAAACACAAATATTTTAGATTAAATAAAGTTAAAAATTAGAAAAGAACAATCAGGAAAAGAACTTCCGCTTTTTCGATTTTCGCGCATGATCGATAGTTTTATGTCTTTTCAGGTTCCGTCATAAATCTGCCTCCATTCTTGATATCTCCCTTGTTATCTGTCCGCCATGATTTTTATATCCTGATGAAAAGATTCTCCTTGTTCATCACTTATATCGCTACAGTTTTCTGGAAATCTGTCTCAATGTCTATGCAGGAAATATAGTTTGATACTCAAGTTAGTACCAATCTCCAGGTCGTTTTCTAACGGTTGACTACTAGTTCCCTATAGTCGTTTGTCTTGCGATTACCAAGGTTTTTTTCACTACATTAAGAAATGAAATCGAGGCTTTTAATGAGTAACATTCATAAAGTTGTCGAAGTTGTCATCCTTGAGTTTTCGAATATCAGTTTCATCAAAAATATTTTGTTTCAATTTTTCTATATTAAGACCAAGATGTGCACTGCAATTGTATTGAAAACATTGGACATTCCTTGTCAAGCGCTTTCACAAACTGCTTCTTGAGTCCTAATTTAATATGGAGAGGTGATTTTGACTCTGGGAAATAGCGGATCAGTTATCATATTTATCATTCTGGCTTTCATTTCTACAATGACCGTTCATTCTCTTCTACCCCAGTGTTGATCTCTGTCTCGGCTGTCCCACGAACAAAGGAAATATTTGGATAGCCTAATTGCTGCTCAAGTAAAAACGTTGGCCATTTTCATTGATTTGATTGCAGTAGGAGACAAATTCAACATTTCTATCCTGATAAAATATAACTTTCGTTCCTTCCTAAAGGAGATTTTTATCCTTCAGTCTTGAAACTAAGGGTTCCACTGATTCTTTTGATAAACTCAAATCTCTGATTAAGTCGTTCAGCTCTTCTTGATTAAACAGTATCAGTTCAGACAATAACCCCTCAAAATGGTTGTCATTGTTATTCCGGCCCATAACGATGAAATCATTCCCATCATCACAGTCCATTTCTTTAATGTCACTGAATGGAACCTTCACAGACAGGAATCAGGATTTCATCAAGATGGGGTACAGATCTGATAGCTGAATTGAGAGAAGGATAGTTCACAGATTTTCGTTTCTTCTTGTTGAGGCCAGTAGTGTTTTTATGCAGTCTACGTCTGTGATGCTCATATAGTCTTTTTTTTTTTAGATAAGACAATCAATCAACAATTTCTGGTTTCTGGTCATCGGATCTGATAATTGAATTTAACTCATTATCTCTCTTATCCTAAAATAATCCCAACTCTGGCTTTACTGACCCAAAAAGAAAGTTAAGTATGGATATTTTGGGTAGCCTGATTGTTGCCCAAGTAAAAAGTTAACCATTTTAAGATCAACACACATCACCTAGTTATGATGAAATTCTTTCCATTACATCCTTGAAGGGTTCATGCCTTTCTTTCAGCTTTGTGGTGTGTCCAATTGGTATCGATGTGTAAACATTGGTGTTGTGCAGCAAAAGAAATTTTAAACTAAGTTTTGATCTATCAATGAATAGTTGCCATGATGAATTTGCATCATTGACCTGAATACCATGACACAGGAAAACACTTTCAACATCGTCACAATATACATGTTCATTGGTTTGATTGAAGTAGCGATAAAATGTAACCTTTGTTCCTTCTTTAAGGGGATTCTTCTCCTTCAGTCTTGAAGCTAAGAGTTCCGCTGATTCTTTTGATAAACTCAAATCTCTGATTAAGTCACTCAACTCTTCTCAGTATATGTTCAGATGATAATCCCTCAAAATTATTGTCCTTGTCATTATCACCCATAGGGACGAAATCTTAGTCCGATTCTTCCATGTCACTGGACATCAATGAAGTCTCGATTCCTGTCTTTGACGACATAAATTGGGATTTCATTTCAGAGTGTTGTACAGGTCTGAAAGCTGAATTGAGAGAAGGATAGTTCACAGATTTTCATTTCTTCTTTTTGAGTCCAGCAATTAAACAAAAGTAACGGACATCGATGTGATTTTGTGATCATCGGAATGCCAAATGTAAGTGAAGTTCAAGTACCCCTAGAGCTCTGGGGTAAGTGCTTCTGACATATTTTGCCACGATTTGTCCTGAATACCCAGATATCCCTGATTAAGTTGCTCAGCTCTTCTTAATCAAACAGTATCGCTTCAGATGATAATCCCTCAAAATCATTCGCATCATCACAGTCCAATTCTTTAATGTCATTGGATGGAACCTTCACAGACAGGAATAAGGATTTAATCAAGGTGGGGTACGGGTCTCATAGCTGAATTGAGAGAAGGATAGTTCACAGATTTTCGTTTCTTCTTTTTGAGGCCAGCAATGTCAATTAAACAGAAGTAACAGACGTCAATGTGATTTCGTGATCATCAGAATCCCAAACTTAAGCGATGTCCAACTACCCCTAGTCCACAGGCATAAGTGCTTCTGACATATTCTGCCGACAACATGTCGTGCCCACAATTTGTCCTGAACGCCCAGTTTCAATTCAAAGTAAGCGCGATAAGCTTTTCTGACAAAATCATTGATCAGTTTTTGTTATTCATTGTTGTAAACTCGCCCCATATACGACATAAGAAATCGGGATTATTTTTGCATCCTCCGCT